AAAGAAAGCGAAATTTACCTTCAAACCTGCACATCCAACAATCCCCGTCACCACAGTAACAGCATCTGGATGTCGAGCAACCTGGAATAAGAGGCTCGTTATAACGGATGATTAAAAAAATATATAAATAATTAAATATAACGAACAGAAAATAAGTAAGTATATGATAAAAAGCTATTGAACAATGTGTAAAAGCTAACCTCAATGATTCCCTCCTCTCCCGGAATGATCTCAGGCTTTTCTTCAACATCAGCTAGAGCTTCCTTGAGCTCATCTATTAGCGACTCATCACGAACAGAAACTAATTGAGGTCTAAACATCTTCACCTGCATGACGAGGCACCAGATCGAAATCCATAAATTCGAAGCTATTTCAATCATTTTTAAAAAATCTTGTTGCTTTAATGCTTTTAGAGAAAGTGACTGATTGTTGCAAAAGCAAGAGTAGTTGAACAGAAGCCAAACGTTTAGTATGTTGAAAGTCGAGTGTTTTTGCGGATAGTACGTAAAAAAAGGTTCTTTCACTGTGTATGTAAATTTCAGATAAGAATCGGTTTCATATTCTGATTGGGTTATGTAAAGCTGATTAATTACTTTCCTCAAGGTTGAGCTATTTTCTTAACATTGTTACATGACAAGATTACTTTCAGATTAGACGGTGACAGTAACTTCAAGTTATCGAGTAATCGATCGATCACCTGATCGGCAAGAAGAGTCACGTTCGAACCAGCGGCAAGAGCAACAACTTTAAACTTATCCGGATTTTCAGCAACTATATCCAATGTCTGAAGAAGCAGCAAACATTAAATATATAATCAATATAAGAAAACAATATAATGGATCTTAGTCTCAGAAAGTTGACTTTAGAACACCCATCATGTGCTAAACAATATTCAGCCATTGCACATCGACTTAACGAAATCCGGTTAAAATATTTATCAATTCTTGGTCTTAAAAGCATTATAACTTGTATCTCTTCTCAAACCTGTGTTCCAATGGAGCCAGTGGATCCAACAACTGAAATGGGCTTCGGGCCCTCCCACGATTTTCTGTCAGAATCGACTGCAGCCCGGCCCGGCCAAGCCGGAGGAGGCGTATGGGCCGAACAATGGACTCTTTTTGAAGCAGTGCATCCATTTTCCTTTCTCTTGAAAGAAAACCCACCTGAATAAAATAAAAAATATCATTCAAAAAACCTGAAAAAAAGAATCTTGTTCGAGGATTACTAGTAAAAAAATACAAAAACTATCTGTATCAGCAAAAATTCAACCAATCCAACTTCAAAAAATTGGAGCCAGAAACAGAAAACAAGAAAAACAAAACCAATAACAGAACAAAACATAACAAAATCTCTACTTGCATTGTTCTAAAGGATGATTATTGTGATAAGGGAACCTAAATAATCTGCAAAAAAAAAAAAATATAAGTTTCACCCAGAACATAAGAACAATAAAGATCACTTTTTTTACCAGCACTCCTTATCCAAAGACAATTTATCAAAATATCCCAAATTTAGAAAAACCCAAATCTTAAACCCAACAAAAAGGAAGCTGCAATACCTTTTTGGGTCTTGAAGAGATGAAGCTTGTGGTTCGATTTCGAGGGGTCCCAAAAAGAAAGTGTCTTGATTTCAGTTGGAGCCAGCAAATTAAGAGCCATATCTTATCAAGAAACACACACAGGTGCAAGAAAAAAGCTGAAAATTAGAAAGCTAATTCTTACACGTTTTTCTCTTCAGTGGAAAAAACAAACACAATTCAGAGTCTGGGCTTTGGAGAGAGAGTGACGAGAGAGGGGTGAAAGCTGGTATAACGTGGCGCATAAGGTGTGTGCCTGTCTTATTATAGCGAAGTCTGGGGTATCAAGATGAAGTTTAAAATGACGTCAATCAAACCAATTTCTCATTTATTTCATGTGCAAAAACGAATTTTCTTAAGTAATAAAAACTAATTTTCTTATTTCTTAAGTGAAAAAAAAATAATAACGGCATTAGTTTCAAAATTTGAGTCATATTTTATAAAATTGTATTTTATAATATAAATTATTGAGTGATGCAGCCTAACTACTATGTCATATATTATATGAAAAAAAATGTATATGTTATTTTTCTACAACATATACATTTTTTTAGTATGATATTTTAAAAAAATAATGTTGTTTTTTTTTTACTTAAAAAATATCATATTTTTTAACAAAATAACGATCATTTGTTAAAAAAAAAAAGAAGAATATATGTTGTCTGATGGTTAGGCTGGATAACACGAGACCAACTGATTAAATAAATAAATAAAATTGGACAACATTTATCACTGTGCTATATATACTTCCACCCAAACATCCAATTGAGAAATCTCATAAAATGATTATTTATTTTCTTTTTCTAGGAAATAAACTGAATTAGTTGAAGAATATTACATATATTTGAGAAATGAGAAATTAAAGTTTTCAGATTTTGATGTTACAATTATTTCTAGTCAAATTACTAGAGAAAATTGACAAATAATTTGGGATGGAGATTTAACCTGTAACTAAAATTGTTAGCTTTGCCTATTACTATTACTGTTGAGCTAATTTTAGACATATTATAATTAGAATTTGGAGACTTTATTTCATGTATATATGATACCAGATATATAGTCATCAAAATACAAGAATGTGAGATGATACTTGCAACAACTACATACATAATGCTAAATGAATTCATTTTTTATTTTATTTTCTTACATTTTTTTTAGTTTCAATGATTGGAATTGGGTTTGTGGATTTAAAAAAATTATTAGTGACAAAATGACAAAGGAGCATGAGGCGAGTCACGAGTGTGTAATAAACAATAAAGCGTATCTCGTGTGCTGCGTGGGTGTATTCTTTATGATTTATTAATAAAACGCTCTTTTTGGAATGCCGATTGTTGTAAAAGCGTAGTGCATTTTCTATTTACTAAGATGCATAGGATTTGTGAGATGCAAAAAATCGGATATAAAAATTGGAATATTGTGATTGGTGGTTAAATATTTGATTCCTCTTACTTTTCGAAGATTATTATCTCTTTGTGGGAAGTCCAAATCCAAATAAAGACTTGTTTGCTTTTTTGTTTTGGTCCCAATAGTTTGTGATAGTGAATTTATGGATACCTCTAAAGGAATCTTATGAATTTTGAGGTCTGCATTTATGAATAGATTATCCAAACCAAAGTAAAGGGAAATAAAATGGGAATAAGAGAAATAAAGGGAGAAGTAGTTGAGATCAAATTTAATATTTTTCATGATTAAGATTAAACTTGGGACTAAAAAACACTTTCAGCTACAATAATTTTTGTGTGAGACAGCTGCCCGGTTAGACGGGTCGATCCGTCATATTTTTTTTTTTAATAAAAATATATACTTATACATCAAGTTGTTGAATGAAATAGGGTGCTCGTGAGTTTGATTCGACTCATTCATTTATAGAGTTGAATTGATAAAAACAACAACTTTTATATGAATCTTTGAATTTTCTGTATAATTCAGCTAATTAAACAAGTTCGCTATCAGGATTCAGGCAATCGAACATGATTCAAATCGTTTGCAACTCTTTATAATGTAAGTATCATATTATTAGACAAATCTAAAAGTTAGGCATGTCCTACCGTTTGATATATGTATGTATTGTAATTATATTATTATTATTATACATTTTCTTCCCTAAAAAATTGGGTATGGCCTATTCAACAATGCTACGTAAGATCTCATTAATTGACGTGAAAAAATCAAGAAATAACAACGCCAGTCGAATAAGCTTAATAATTAAAATATGAGTTGCATTAATGAATTTCATGTTGTAAGGAGTTTCATATGGGGATATATTTTTAAAATAATATTTAGGGGCATCCTAATGTTATCAAATACCTAATTACAGGCAGCCTCGAGAAGAGCATATATAAGTTGACCTTAATGTTAAAAAAAATTCGACAGAATAAGAACGACGATATTAATTAATCTGACCCTAACATGTCGAATCAAAGCTTAACACGCTTCATAATATTCAAATAAATGGAATAATGGAAATGCTTCAAACTTCGGAAAGTTAAACGAAACATGTTGTTCGTAAACTCGGTTCGACGAGTTTAACAAATGAGACGAGTTTGAACTTGTTTAGTAAATGAGTTAAGTTAGATTTGTTAAGGCTCAAAAATAGAAATCAATTTTATATAATTTTTTATAATTAATTTCGTTAAAGTTCGAATGGCTCATTAATATTGATATACAATTTACGCTTTGTCAGTTTGTAAATTAAATGAGCCGAGCTCGAACTTTGCTAGTTTACCGACCCAATTTATTTTGAAAAATATTTCATTTTTTAATTTCTGGTTAAAAACGTAGATCAATATGTATTAGTCAACAAAAGTGGGAGGCTAAATTTAGATATTGATAAACAAAAAATTGTGTCCATGTGCATGCTAACAAGAGATCACGTGCTTCACACACACACACACGCACAAAAAGCATATCCATTCTGGTATATCAATATGGGCCTACATTAAATCTCCACAGTCGTTCAATTAAGAAGAAAAGTAACCACGAAGTTTCATTTAATTGTAAAATGATCACAACTATTTTTCAAATTATAAAACTACCCTGCCAATGTACTGCAGACTTGCAGAGTACAAACACCTCCGAGATGCAGGGCGCTATATGTAAATAGAAACAACTATCAAAGTAATATTGGCATTATTCTAGCAATTAGTGCTTCTAATTGGACTTGAGCTCGATGGTATAAATGGTTTCATTTTCAATTAATCAACATATGCTGTTCCATAATGAAAGAGTGGTCCCTAATTGACTAAACCATTTTTGTGATTCAAACAAAGAAAAAATTTCAGGATATACTGAAATAATCGATTTTGGAAAATATATTATTAAATGGGAAGCAAGGTACACGAGACATTAAAGAATGTGCTACATTTGAACCATTCATCTAAAACTTGCTGCAAATCGGTTGTTTTTAGTCGAGCTATAAGCCAACCAGCTACTAGAGCTATAAACGAGCAATGTCGAATCGAACTTTAGCTCTTTATTGAGCAGTCAAAACGGGCCGGTGGAGAGGGCCGGCCCGTAGTCCGCTTTTTGGCGGGGTGGGATGGGCTGGCCTGCCATCATGGCGGGTCTGTAAAAAGCTGGCCGAACCCGCCCTCGCTATGGGTTGTGGGTTCAGCAGGCCAAGCTCGCCTATTTAATTTTTTTTTTATATATAACCTGGGTTGGATAATTAGATTGAGCCTGCAGGGTCTCATTGCAGGGGCCTAGTTGTGATGACTGCTGGGCCTAGGCCTGCTAACTGAACTTAAAAAAAATAAATAAATAAATAAACCTGCTGTTATGAACATTAAGAAAACCTGATGCAAACATTAAAAAAAAAAAANTCGGAGGCGGGAGGCAGAGACTGGAGGTTTCGATTCTTAAAGGCCGACGCTGGAGACGGAGGCTGGAGGCGGAGGCGTGGGCGGAGGTCGAGAATCATAGGGGAGAGGCTGCTGAGATTTGAGATTTGAGATGGGCTGGTGAGTGAGAATTGAGATGAGGCGATGGGAGAGGCGAGGGTTTAGGGCATGCTTGTTTACTAAATAATACATTTAAAATGAGTTATTTTGATTAATTCTAGTTAATTTTAAAAATGATGATATGGTTAGTTGTTAGTGATAATTTAAAAATGTATTAAAATAATATTTAAAATAAAATAATTAATATTGATTTGATATAAAAGTATGAGATAAATGATTGAAAATGATAAACAGTTAAAATTATGTGAATAGATAAATATTGAATTATAATTGATGTGATGTGTAAGAATGATTGGTTTGTATTATTTAATTATTTGAATAATATTAAAGATAGTAGAGTTGAGTTAAATTTTGAATATGAATTAAATGTGAGTAAATAATTTGGTAAACAAGCATGCCCTTACTGTGTGAACATCTGTGTTTTTTTACCCCATCTGATCAATTTAAGACAACCTTTTTCAACGGTTCAAATTTTAAATGAGGATTTTACTTAACCTTAACCATCCAAAAGTGTGTGTGTTTATTTTTTTTTAATTGGACGGGCCGACCCGCGAGTTAGTCCGCCCCGTCCCAGCCCACGTAGGCCCACTCCCTGACGGGCCTAGAAAATAAAGACCCAACCCGTCACTTTTGCGAGGTGGGGCAGGCCTACCCGCGGGTCACAGGCTGTTGTGACAAATCTAGCTCCTAATACTCGAACTCGGGCTCATGTCTTGTAGAGTTGAGTCAACCTCGACTCGTTGAGTTAATTAATGAGTTGATAAAGCAGCTTGAGTTGGCTCATCAACCGGCCTTAACGAGTCAAATATTGTCATTAGGTTAGAAAATTGCATAAAATCCCTATTTATTAAGTCTAACCAGCCTAACTCGTTTCGTTTAATTGCTCGGGCCGAAGTAAAGTAAATTCCGTGGTTCAACAACAAAAATAAAAACAAAATTATCTTATTATTACAACTATCACCTCAATTACCGTATGTAGTCGCATATCCAAACAACCTAAAGAGCATTTTGTAAATGAGAAACTGGAGTTCATTGTAATTTGACACAACTTAAAGGGATTCCTTTNCCAAAATTATTCATTTTTTGGCTGCAGACAAAGAAGCTTTGCAAGTATACACACCATGCTAGCAATTTGTATTGGTCATAATACACAACACGAGCTCCTCTTAAGCCACAATGCAGATATGAGTAAAAATTTTTATTTATTCATTTAAAGCGTAAACCGTAACTAAAAATAAAAAACTAAAATCAGATAAACGGGCCCGTACGACTAACCAGTTTCCCTTTTTTCCACGGTCATAAAGAGCTCCTTCAAGCCTCCAAATACGACCCGTTTTCTTCCTTTGTGATCTCACCAGAAGATTGAATCCCGGAAAAAGAACTCTCATTGTTTCCACCTGATTCGGATATTTTCGTAATTCTCTGCAACTCATCGGTTATTTCTTCCGTGGGCTGAGCAGCCAGCAGTTGGTCGTCGGTCAAAACCGAGGACTTTTTCGGCTGTCGTATGGCTGCAGCAGCCTCGGGCATGACAACTGGCGGCGGCTGAGGTGGGACCCACGCAGCCCTCTTAACGGGCCTTTCGCTGCCTGGGCCCGATTTCGACTCGTTGCCAGTTTCCATTTCTGTGATTATTGGGCTCTGCTTTTGCTGCCACCAAGGGGTATTTTCGTAATTTGGGGTGTTCTCTTGAGACGGGTAATAAGGGTTGAAAGAGCTGTTGTTCTGGGTTTGATTCGAATCCCACGGCTGTTGTAAACGAGTATTTTGTGTTAGTGAGAGTATCTATTCGTGTATCTGTGATTTAATAAACTAGATTTCCCTAAGTGTAAATTCGAGCAATTGGATGAAAAAACTTTTGACAGTAAACCTTTGGCCTTGGTGCTACACGAGGATTTGATACGGGTTGATTTGGGTTCGGTGGTGCGTCATTGATCTCCTGTAAAAAGAAAATTGTTAAAAGAAAAATACAAACTATAAGACCAAGCCTCAAAATATCACTCTACTGCTATGTGAGTATGGGAAATGAAGAAGTTGCTTTTTTCTCTAAATTTTAGCACACCTATAAAAAATTTACAAGTAGGTAAAAGGGGTGGGTAAAATCGACTTCTTTAGCTTTCAAGTTAAACACTAACTTGCTATTTTATTATCAAAACCCTTTAATGTAGAATGTAGTTAGTATTTAATCAGGCAAATTGCAATTTAGAGTACTTATTAATACTCAAAAATGAAATTTGAGAGCTTACGGCTTACGGGTATATCGAGGGCATACAGAAACTTCACAAGAGAATTTTATTAATTAGTTTATCATTATCCACAGATGCAGATTTTTACTTTCACAATTTTCTGACTAATTATTTTATCCACAAAATGTATTCATAAAGTTCAGTGTCTAAAGCTTTTCATGCTAGTACATGGTCATCTTTTGCAGAACAAATAGCACATATTTTTTAGTTGTATATATGAAATGAGCACAAACACCATTAATGGGAGAGGGCTAACCCTTATATTAGATGGTTTTTCCCCTCTTTGTATCATAGCCATTATCTGCAAAAAAAGCTCCGAATATTAGCAGGGACGAACAGAAGACAAACCAACAATGAAATTTCTTCGCCGCTTCTGAACTAAAAATGGTCAAAAGTTCAGCAAAAAGTAAAATTAACTTAAAATCTAACCACAAAGAAGCACGATTGGGATTTGCATGCAATAAATTGGACTATCTTCGTACGAAAATATTACGTAAAAACCTAAGAGTGTAGAAATACCTCCATGTACGACTTAGGATGAGGAGCAACAGAAGGTTCCGTAGGTGCAGGTGGAGACAAAGATCTCACTGCACAGAACACCACAGAATCAAAATTATTATTCAAAAGGCAACAGAATTTAACGAGAGAAAGTCAAACAGTCGGTCAATGGATAATAAACCTGAGGATGACTCAACATCTGCATTGCCATAGCCATTTCCATTTCCATTGCCATAAAGTTGCTGAAAAATCAGGAAGACGAGCAAAAAAAAAAAAAAAAAAAAAAAGTTCAAAACCGACCAGTAGGAAATTCAAATTCATCATAGAAGTGGACTGTTCTAAATAGCTTACCTTCGAACTAGTCCTTGAAACCCTCTGGTTGGCCTGATCCTCAACAGTAAATCTCCCATTCACACTTTGGCCTGACATTGGCAGTTAAAACAATATTTTCACATAAATACTAGTTTTTCGTAAATTCAGTGTTGTGTACACGATGAGGAAGGAAGGTTGTGGAGAAGAGTGGTGAACATGCAATATGGAGGATCAATTAATCCTGAAACTCTCGAGCAATGCTCCAATTGATCCTTATACAAATACATTTTACATTATTGAAAGGAGAACTCAAAATCAGATACTAGCATATAGTAGACAATACAGAAGAAATAATTTCACAAACAAAGGGTCTAAAAAACATCTTAAGCACCCTAACTAAGACTTAACAACATTAGAAGAATTTCGAAACCATGACAGACAAATTCTTACCACTTCCCAGCTTCTGTATTGCATTACTCATCGATTTCATCTCATGAGTTTGCACACTCAACATATTGATAAGCTCCTCAAAGCATCTCTTTTCTGAGAAAACAACAGATACAAAGGCAACCATGAGTACTATAAAAAACCATCATTAAAGAAGATAGATTTTAAATTTTTAAGTAATAGCTGCACAACATACAATCGAAACCCATTAGAGATCTATCTACCTTCACTTTTTGCCATCAACATGTCGTGGCTTGCTCGAGCCACATCAGATGCTGCAGCTGCAGCAGCTTTTGCAGCAGCTGAAGCTTCTAGAGCTACATTTATCTTTGTAATATGTTCATTATTCGAACCCGCTTCATCTTCTTCCGAAACAACCTTGCGAATCCAAGTCTTCAACCGGGGGATGATTGTTTTCTGACAAGTATACCCTCCGTGTAAGTAAAATTAGGTACACCAGACCAACTAACCAAAGTAATACCTTTTTATAATTTATATGACTGCAAATATAATGATAATAATACAAATGTTCCAACTTTAGATTTTGAAAACACACATTCATAGAAAAATAGAAGTTCCTATAAATCAAAATGCACCTTGAAAAGCACAACTGTTCCAGCCCCCGATGCAGCCAAAAACCCTACAGCAAAAATAGCATGATACCATTGGAATCGAGCTATTATCCCCATTTTTGAATTGTTGGCCACAGGCCCAACAGATGCAGGTTGAAGCACTTGTGCTGAAGGTTGCTGTAAACCATTTGATGAAGATTTTATCTGACCATCTTCATAGAGATCATACAGAAAAGGATATAAGATTTAGCTACATTTTTCCCTTCATAAAACAAAATAGGCCAAATTTCGAAATTAAAAACACAGAATCATAAGAAAAGTTAGATACATTGTAATAATCATTATATATTACTACCTTGACCAGTGACGACTGGTGGAGTCGTTGTAACAGCTGGGGATGGGTCCTATAATGATTTTAACAAAATCGATTAATTCTGATAAATTTCAAGTCACACTCGGCAATTCATTTATATAAAACACAGAGGAGAATGACATACCGGAACACGACGAAATGCTTCATCAATCTCCTCTTTCGTGAGACCCTTCCTCTCAAGAAAGGATCTTCTATACATGACAGGGGAGCCTCTAACCTTCGGGTGTGACAGAAACTTGATGGCATTTTCTACTTGGTCTTCACGAATCGGTTCTTTGTTCACAAACACTGAAGAGGGAGAAATCTCCTTCACACCCTCTACCTTAGTATCATTACCATCACCACTAATTGGCTGTATGACTTGTGAAACTGTAACTCACAATGGAAAAAACACCATCACTCGCAAGGTTTACGGCATACCCAGATGAAAATTCCATAGTCTATTCTTTTTTTTTTTTTAATTATTGACTGATAATCAATATGCACAAAAATTAAGTTGCAAAATCCCAGAAATTGACTTCACCTAAGCAAAGAACACGACATCACAGTGGCTAATTCAGTGATTAATCATCAACCAACTCTACCAGTCAACTCCAATCGAATATCCAAAGAACAACAAACTCAATCTTAAACACGGAAAATTCGAGCAATAATCGATGAACTTTTGATGAAAACCAATTGCTGAATTGAAAAGGAAACCTGGGTTTGGGGCCTTTCCGTCGCCGGAACTCGGCGGAGCATCAGACGGAGTCGCCATAGCAGGGCTTCAGCTGAATTTCACTACTGAAAACAGAAAAAGAAAAAGAAAATTTGATTGGATGCAGTGCCTAGGGAGCGACGAAGAAGATGGATGACGTCACGATTGCTGTGGTCCCTTCATGGTTTTCTTGCTCATCCCAAAGCAAGGCACCGAGTCACTGACCCAAGTTATGGGCTCTGCTCTGGCCGCTAAAAAATTGTTACTTTATCCTTCGCATATGTTATACAGCACGCTTTTCTTTATTCATTATTTAACAGCATTTATTTATAAATATCAAAATTTTGTTAATAAAACAAGTAAAAGAAATAATGGGACAACTAGATGGAGTCATCATGGATTAATGCATTTACATATATATCAAATATATTATTTTAAAACACCTATCACCATAACATTTGTATATAATTATGATTGTTCCTACTTTTATAACATTTGTATATAATTAAAATTATTCATAGTTTTATAAATCGTAATTATCCAATAACTCCATAACAAAACCGATAATTTGATAAACGCTATTAGCTGTACGGATTTAGTGTGGTACAAAGTTATTCATTGCAATTTAATTGATCAGACATGATTTGAAGGTTGGGTCATCACATCTTTTTAACATGATAAGAATGTAGTTGTTAGACAACCTTAATAATTCGAGAATCATACATTTTTAACAAATATTCATAATTTCATATAGAAATGCCATACTATAAAATTAAACATAACAAGTATGAAAAAGTATGACTGAGTCGACCGCCTAATGATTAGGAAATCCAACACCGAACATTTGAGCTAACACAAAATTGTATCTAAATGATTCTACAAAAGCCACATTGCATCTTTGTCAGAAGAAGATTCGGGCGAAAATCCTCAGGTAGCTAAATGATTCTTGTTCATTGCAGTCTCTGCAGAAGGCTTTCAACCTTAAGTTTTTGCTGCCCAGGACTCAAAGACTCAGTTTTCATGATTGTATTTGCAACCAGAATCACAATCGAAGGAGAAGTAGCGTTCAACTGAACAAAAAAATAATAATAATAATTGAAGTGAGTTAACATAAACCTCAAAAAAGCTAAACCCTTCATAAGAGCTGAGAAAACATACCCAAATGCGGCCGTTCAAACCAACTGCAATCTCGAAAGCAAGCTTTTTCCCGAGTGTTTCAAGAACCGGGCATGTTGGAGAACTTAGCAACCTAATTAGCAAGCAGCAAATTTTCAGTTTTGAATTTTTGTATCATTGTCTGCAAGGGAGGATAAAAAAATAAGTGGATTATTATTATTATGCTTTTTTAACTGAGAGTGATATTACTATACATTCTTGATAGTCCGGTCGATGATTCAAATGTGAACCCTTCTTTTAGGGGGCCATAATCTGCAGCTTTTCCAGTGGCTGTAGAGCAGAAAAAAATTTCACGACGTTAAAAACCTTTCCACATGAGTAAAAAAGATTTTTTTTCAAGTTTTGGAAAATTGAAGTCAAACTAACCATCCATGCACGATATCTCAGGGTTCATGCCAGGGTTTGCCTTGACAACACGGACATACAGCAAAGTGCCCATCTGAAGATAATAAAAATGTATCGGGAAGTAAGAACAACATACTAAAAGAATCCCAGATTTGTATAAACAAACATCATAGAAATATCAAAACACAGTTGTTCTGGAAAAAAAATGAATATAGGAAAGGACTCAAGGAGCAGGAAAATGGAAATTTGACTTATTATACATTGATTTATTTACCGGTATGAGTACAGGTAGAACTTAACTCAGAACACCCCTTTTCTGGACTGAACTACTCGAGATGAAGCTTTGGCTCAACAAAAGAGTATTTCAAATAGAAAAGATGAAATCAACAGTTGAAAGATGTTCATTTACCATACAGTTTTCTTGGCGACATCTTTCTTTTTAGGATAGTACTTAAATAAATATCGTGTAAGATTATAACAAGACGAGAGAAAAGGTTGGCAATAGGAAGCGTAATTTACTAAACCAAATTTTATGCCCAGTAAAACTTCAAATTTATTTATTGAAACTCCACCGGAGAATATTTAACTTTGGTCAAGCATCAGGCTTATGAGGAGCTACAGAGCCTAAGAAATTCTCCTAATATAAGAAATCGTGTTGTCCAATGTATTTTCGACCTATAATATATTTCAGATGGATTCTGGCAACACTTAAAAGCGATGCATCTCAAAAAACCAAGTTGCGGAAAAAATTACCGAAAAAAAAAGTAGCCATCACAACATTGCACATCATAAGAACATAAGCAGCCACTGGAGGAATTATCTTACACATGAAAGATTTAGAGGACACACAAATTATCAATGATGTCTTAATTTTAACATAAAAGCTGACTTGCATTACTCATGCATGCACATATTGTTATCGCAAGAGCTACATAAAAGCTATTGTAGATGGAAGGTATTCACCTCGAATTTTGGAATGTTTCTTCGGGTTCCACCTTCAAAAGCCAGCACGGGGAGAAATGCCAATGTGGGACCCTTTATATCCACGAGAAAATTCTGTTGTAGGTATCATACACATTAGCAAAGCTACTGAGAACATCTGATAAGTGAATATTATATATGTAAGACATTGTTGAATAACCAGGAGTACTTACATCTGCTTTGGCATCAACCACGATTCCAAGTACATTATCCCCAGCGCTTGGGACATACTGTTAAACAGAATGCCAGCATTAAAAATGATTGAACCTTTTCATCAACCGACTTTAAAAAAAANTTGCACGAAAAACAGAAAAAAAAAACAAAAAACAAAAAAAAAAAACAAAAAAAAACAAACAAACAAAAAAAACAAAACGTACACAAGCAAAAGTAGAAATTGTAAATACCACATAGCTAAGCCACTATATTATGGGTTCCTCTGTATCATGTCAAGAATTTCTCGAAGGAGCAGTGAACATTTGACTTACTCGTTTATGGGAGCTTTCTACCCAATACTTGTTTGGTTTAGAGAACCTCAGCTTCCCTGCTTTCATAACAGATATCACATCACCATCCTGCAAACATAGGACAAACATCATACCTCAAAAGGCTCGATCTACCATATTCTTTGGTCTTGAAACAAACTACTCTTCCTTACATCGACACATTGCATCATATCCCCAAAGTGATTTACTTTTATAGTCAACTTGAACATCTATTCGCAGGAGCAAGTTTTTATAAAGTAACACGCCATTATTCCAGAACTCAACATCTCTATGTAAACAAACCATAAGCAACCCAACTACTAGCTGCAGCAGGTCCAAATTTCTTCTACATTATATTTTCATAGTTTTTCTTTCTGCATGACCATTCTTTATGACATAAAACACAGAACCACACACTCCGGACCACAGAAACAACTAATAAACCTCAAGTTAAACAAACAAACAACAGAAAACAAACCCAAGTAGGGTTAGTAGAAGAAGACCTGACGGAGGCCGCCGCCAAGCTTGATGGTCTGATTGGTCATTTTAGAGAGGTCCAACACCACATCCCCAGGAAACTAGAACAATAAAAANAGAGACCAGAAGATTACGCACAAGATTGAAAAATCACAAAACTGATTATTCACACAAAAAAAATAAATAAAAAAAATGAGTAATCGCAGCTCTTTACCACTTGCTGATCGACAAAGCTTGCAGAATTAGCTGAGGATTTCGAATCCATATTTCTCTGGAAGAAAGAATACAGATACAGTGATTGTATGTATCTCTGTGCTTCGAAAGCAAAAGTGAATCGGCAGCGGGGGAGGGAGAAAAGCTGTCGGGGATAGCTGCGGCGGCGAATTAGAGTCGGCGAGTTTTCTGTAAAGGGGTGAGCAGGCGAAACGCGTTTTATTATTCGCGTTTCTAAGCACTTTCTAAGTGTCTTTCTTTAACCCAAATAAAAAAAGAATCATTAGAAGAAAAAAACTAAAAAAAATCATTAGAAGAAAAATAAAAGTGAAATACATGACAGCTGTGGGATTTGAACCCACGCCCTTTCGGACCAGAGCCTAAATCTGGCGCCTTAGACCACTCGGCCAAACTGTCGATACATCAATGGATGCTCAAAGCAATTAATTAACCAAAACTTATACAAGACCAAAAAGATAATGTAACCGAATAGTACTCATTTCAATATCCAATAACTAAAAACTACTTCCTGTTTCCACTTTCCACACACAAAATTATGTTAGCATTGTTTCTTATGTGGCATGAACAAATTAGATGGATTATATAAACAATGATAAATAGATTTTACTATCATCCACAAGATTTTAAATATAAAAAAGCTTGACTTAGAAATATAAATAATATTTATTCATGCTAATTTGAGGTTCAGAACATTTTACCTTTACATCAAGTGGGTATGTGTTGATCCAACGATAACTAAAACAGTTGAAGTAACCGAAGTAGTCGAACTTACCCAATACAGTCAATGTACATTTTACTTTTCCACACATCATCATATCCACATAATTAAAAATTAACGGCATTGAAAATGTTTTTCTTTTTTCTAGAAAACCAATTCTATTTAGCTTTATGGCGACAAATGCATCATTGTATTGAAAAATATTTTAATAATAAAAAAATATGTATAAGGTGTACTTAAAAAATTCCAAGATTGTTTTTATTTTAAAAAATTCTCATACAATATACTCTATTTATATGATAAGCCCATCCTAAAGAATAAATGATACATATTCTGCACTCTAATAGAAATACTCTCTTCAATTCACAATGCATCCCCTATTTTGGGGAAAGCTTCAAATAGAAAAATAATATCTTGCTCCAATATATAGCTTCCATTACACTTCACACACATTATTTAAAAAAACAATAATAATAATAACTGATGCATGGGAGTAATTTTGATCACCTCATGCTACAATCAACACTTAACCCCAACACAAAAAAGGAGAA